TAGAGATAATTTAACAATATATATATATGATTGTATGTATAATAATGTTTACTAATTTTGAATTTACAAATTGAATTATTATATATAAAAATTTATATTTTAATTCATAATTTACATATATAATAATAATAAATTTTAATTACATCATTTCGTAATTTATTACATTTACATTATTTTAATAACATACAAGTAGACAACATAACACGGTAGATAATTCAGTGCTGTACGAGTCACTTAGATTTTATAAATACGTGAGCCGTTCACAGCCCGGCACACGTATTTGTAAAATCTAAGTGACTCGTACAACATGGAATTCATATAATACGGAATTATCTACCGTGTTATAGGGGGGTCTACTGTAGTATTTTCGTATAAAGTATTTGAAATTTTTAAGTACAGTCACGACCTCTCTCTCAGTCACAAGTATGTTTTGCAGCATTCCAGTTGAACTAAGCTGTGGAAAAATGTCTATTTGTGTGCATGTGGGTCCCTGTCGCGTTGTCAAATCGCAAGTTTTTTCACTATTGCTCACATAGCAAAACAACCGTTTTCACAATCGGACGTTCTACTACCGGAAGCTTTCGGGGGTGGTAATGTGTCACTATTAGAACACTTCGTTTACGTTGCATCAATATTGTACCTTTCGGGAATTAATCATTATAAAAGATATATTTACGTTATAAGTTTTCTAGATGGATAGCGATTTTAATATAATTGACGAAGCATTGCCTGAGTATAAATACAGGATATCTGTTGACGAACTTGTCACATAACTTTACAAGGAAAAATCTTTCGTAGATATTTACAAACACAGATGAAAAAATATATTTAGTTGACATAATATATTCGCCAAGATGCAACCACAATACATGTATTTTATTCGTCCTTTAGGCAATATCATCATCATTTTTACTTAATTTTTCTTTTGATGATTATACCAATGTTGGCTAATATTCAAGATTTTTATATTGTCAAATGAGTTTACTTCTTTGATTCTCATCAAAACATTTTATAATAGCTTAAATACAAGGATGATAGTTTTAAACTTTTTACGAAATGTGTATGATATTTGAATTTTAATTGGCCCGAGATCTTTATTTCCGAGGTGGAAACACCACTGTTCGTAAGTGTATCAACTTATATAATCATTGGACAATTTGCCTTTTTTGAAAAGTTAAGTTTTTATGGTAAACCAACCTCTGATACTGATGAAATACAATAGTAACTTCAAAATTTGGGCAATGCAGTGTTGTAGCAATGTATAATTAAATTTCTTCTCTGTATCCTCAATTTACAACAAATGATAAAACATAACAGCGGGCTCATAGTTATGTATTAATAATTAATAAATGATTGTAAAGTAAAAAGGTGTTTGGACGTGGATTGGTCTACCCTACATACAGTGTATATATATATATATATATATGACGAAGACAATCCTTTAGCCCCTTTCGTCATATACAATTTTTGTTCGTAAGAGAACTTTATCATTACTTTTTAATTTTGTTACATTTTTATATTATTTAAATTTATGTAGCTTATTTAAAATAATTATTAAAGTAAATAAAAGTTTTATTTTAGTATACGAATTAAAATCGCTTTACAAGATTTCCTTCGGGATCTGTATTTGATTCTATGACACGCACACGCAAGCATACATATATATTATACAATATATATCCTATACTGTACAGTACATACACACACAGAACGTTCCGCTAAATAATGGCAATATTTTTATAGCGTGTTGCAAATGCCTAGATAATCATACAAATATATAGTCCTTTAAGGGTACATATTTGTATAACGCATTGTTTCAGCTCTAGGAGGATGTTAATTAATGAATTTCTAACAATTGTTTCAGAAAATATAGAAGATTTGTAAGAAATTAGTTTTATGAATTCGAAGCTTTTACTTCGTTAAATTGATACGATTAACTTTTCAATCGATAATTTTTTTCTACAAACTCTATTGACTTATAAAAATTTAGTTATAAATGGATGATACTATTTTTATATATTTCGTACAATTTTTATGTTAATCAATGAAATTTTAGTATTTACAATTTAATAAAATCGAATGATTATATTGAACGTATAGTACCTTATTGTAAGGTATACAAGTTGACCCCCCTATAACACTGTTGATAATTCCGTGTTATATGAATTCCATGTTGTACGAGTCACTTAGATTTTACAAATACGTGTGCTTGGCTGTGAACGGCTGACGTATTTATAAAATCTAAGTGACTCGTACAACACTGAATTTCTGTTGTACTTTCTGTTTAAAACACTACACAGTAGTCTTTTATTATAAATTTTATTTAACCTATTCATTTTATTACTCTTTAATAATGTCATTATATAATATAACTGATTTTTACTACTTGATTATAAAAAAAAATAATTATTAAATGTTTTTAAAATGTTCGATAAAGCTAGATTTTATAAATTCTGAAATACAAACTGGGAAATATTAGCGTGTTAAACTGTGACTTTAAACAGAATATAATGATTTTTATCAGATAAAAATCACTGTTTATTGTTAAAGTATTGAAAAATTAGAATAATGTATGCAAATCAAAAAAATATCTTTTTATTTTCTTACGTTAAGAAGATGAAAGAACTGTGAACTTAATAAGCTGTTTTGTATACAGCTTAAGATATTGAATATAATTGATTTTTCTAACAAAGCTATCTAGTAGATGAACCTAAATCAAAATTATAAAAATTCAACGTGATCATCGTGGGATTTTATCCATATCCTGCTCTTATCACATGCATGAATTTATTCATATAAAATTTTTACTTCATATTTATCACGACGTACAAAAGCTTTATTAATTCCATCTTTTACATCATAGATTATTTAAAAATCAATAGATATTATCGCTTGAAAAATAATAATTTGAATTATTTGATGCAGAATATTTTTCTTTCGTTTAAATTATATAATATAATACTACGATATTATTTCGAAATTAACCTTATCGTGTTCTAAATATGAATTATATAAAGAAGAACGATACGGTTTAAATTTCGAAAATGGCTTGGATTCACGAAAACATTTTATTTATTTATTGTAGATTAAAATAAATAGCTTTAATAATTAGAAATTTTATTATTGCTGAGATTACTTTATAATTGATTGATTATCTAAATTCTAAACCATTTTCGCCCAAAAATATTGGCAATAAATCTAACCCCAATGTCATTTTTATATGAAATGTAAAATTTTGTTAGTATCATATATAATAAAATGCTACCTTTGTAAGATAAAAAAGAAAAAAAAAAAAAGCCATATATTCGATCTAGCTGAATCGAAATAGGATCTTTCTAGATAGATCCTGTTTATTTCTAGATCTTCCTGGTTATCCGGATCTACTCAGATGAGATATAATAGGCTATATTGTACCTAAATATAGATTTTATTATATCTCATTTGATCATTCATTTGTATTGTATTAATTTAACTGATACCAACACAACAAAAATGTAAGCGAATATTTAGAACTTCCTCCTTTTTTTTTAAAGTAATTATAGGTAAAATTATTGAATAAAATTTGAAAAATGATCAATTATTCTTTTTGAAATGGCAATTCAATGTTAAACTTAATGATTTAAAGCAGAAATCTCCAAAGTAGTCGATATCGATCCCCAGAGGTCGATAAGGCACTTTCGGGGGTCGATTGGGAGGTCAATTGAAAATGATTCATTAAAAATTATTAGTCCAATGGGTTACGTATATGACAGTTCAGTACGGTGTAAATTGTTACTTACAAATACTGTAAATCTTTTCTGTGGAAATGGTGTGTGAATTAATACCGACTCATCAGATTTGATTATTTATATACTATTATTATTAAGTATATTAGCAAAAATGAAGATGGGAGTCGATAACAAGTTGAAGAATCCTCTTTAAAAGAGAAACTAAAATATACGTTAAACTATTCTATAAGTAATTTGATTTACTGTACCTTTTTCTTCTAATTATTTTATTTAGTATAAACTTATAACTTATACTAATATATACGTATATTATACTATGATATATATACCATACATTACAGAGTATAATCATCTCAAGATTTTTGGGTTTAGTCTTGTATTCAGTAGGCTACCAAATATACAGTAGTAACTGAAATGTGACTACAGCGTACTATATTTCTATTAGTCATACTTTAGAGATTTTTTTCAAGCTTAAAAAGTCTATTTATATGCAATAATATACGTTAATTGCATTCATGTGTTATTATTCTGTTTCATTTACTATACAGTATATCATAAAATTATATTATATTTGTTTTATTTGAATATTAAAATTGAAATAAATTAAAATCAGTTTTCATTTGTAAACCACGACATTAATGTATTTTATTGAAATAGTCTGTTTCGCGTATTTATTTAGGCTAGACCCCCCAAATTATAGCTCATAAGAGGATTTTTTATACTTGATTTTTGATTTTTATATTTTCACTTACAGTTGACCCCCCTATAACACGATAGATACGTTACGGTTTTTATGAATCCATTTTCTACGAGTCCAGCCAATCACAGCCCGGCACGTATGCAGTTTACGGACTACGGCTGTTTGAAAGGTTTCTTCTATAAAAGTAATCGATTCTAGACTAATTCGACTCAACATTTCCAAAATATGTATAATTTTTTGGGAATAATCCATATAAACTATGCTATAAACAAAAAATTGTAGGATNCGCATTGAACGGCGTGCGTGTGTTTCATAATAAATTATTTGATGCGAAAAATTTGCTGAACTTTGAAGACATCATTGATATAAATATAATTTTTATGGGCGTTAAATAATATGGATTATTTAAACTCAACGGTTTGTACAATATCCGCTATTGGTCTAGATTCGACCAATCCTGTCGCGACACGAGTCGGCGATGACGTTTTACCGAATTATACGAGTTTTTTTAGCATGTTTGTACGAATACTGTCGCAATTTTTTCGCCGTGATATAGGAATCCGAACTATAGGAACCCGTGTTATAGGGAGGGTCGACTGTATTTCATTTTACTCTTTTTGATTTTTATCTTTATAAACATTGTGTTAAAAGTTATTGATGTGTATTGATTTACTTTTCTATTGATATTAGATGTTAAATGTTATCTTATAAACATAAAACTGTATATAGTATATGTGTATATATGAAAATATTCAGTACACGGTGAAATCTCTTTAAGACGAAGAGTAGAATGGATTTATAAAGGAGATGATGACGAAAATACAATGGGTACAGACTACAATAGTATTATATAGTTAGTTTATGAGATATTCTAGTGTAACACTACACCGACTGCTGTGTAGGCAATACAACAGATTGTTTAAATGTTATGTATTGATTAACATTATACTGCAAGAAAATGTATTTATTAATACATCATATGTAATTCTGAGTACTGTACAGTACATGAAAATGTAATGCATATAGTTTTAAATATTTGATTTAAAGTAATGCGAAATACAGTATTGTTTTCTTTATTTTGAGTGTTTTGACAAGATAGTGCCTTTAATATTGCTTTTCTATTTGGTCAAATAAATTTCTTTTGGGACCAAACGGATTCCAAAAACCGTATTAATCTCACCTAAATCTGTCGTCATCAATTAGAATTTTATTTATTCTTATGAATGAAAAGATGAAATTCGTTGGCTTTGTTATATTATTTAGTTTAATAAGAATAAATAGAACAAAAGACTGCTAAGAATTTTAACAGTCAATTATGTATTTTTTTTCCACGGAAGGAAATAAGAGAAAATGGAGACATCGAAAGTTGAAAAAAAAAATTGAGACAAACTTTTACTCCTAGTGCAACAGTGCAACATGTACAACATTGCACAGTATACGGTTTCGATTTCATCTTCCCATATGGAATGATAAAACTGGTAACCACAAAGGGGGTATTTCACACAAAGGGATTATAAATCCAAGTTGTCTTTGATCTCATAAATTGGTAGTCGGCTTAAAATGGATTAAAAGCAATGAGTCCTGTGGAATAAAAATTGTATTCTAAAAAAAATCCAACCATTTAAAGGGTTGGTCATCTGGAGAGATTGCCAGTTTTTGTGAACTGGAAAGTATAATTCTAAACGAATCAATCAATAAGTTTAAATTTAATTAATGGAATATCTTATAAATTTATATATTGATATGTATGTATTGATATATTTATTTATACAGTATCTGTAGGTAAAAATAAATCATTGAGAATATTAAGCTCTGAAATAATAATACTTATGATGTGCTATAAACGGTGCCAATATATTTTAGTGTTTTACAAAAGTAATCTTAGATTCTAATATGTTGATTTTTTTTATGTTTGATCTCAAACTATAAAATAAAATTTGTAATATAATAAATAAATAAAAAATGATTCAGTTCGAAATATTTTCAGGTTATCGTCAGATATTTCGAACCATCGAATATAATTTGTCTGATAGAACCTTGGTTTCGTGAATTAGGATTCGCCATTTGTTACGGTGCCATCGTTTTGAAGATTTATAGGTAAAGAATACATAAAATTTAGTTATTTTAAGAAATTTGATTATGTTTTATTTATTTATTTATTTTGATATATATCTAATAGAATCTTGGCAGAATTTCAAACTAGAAAAGCCCATAGAGTCTGTGTTCGAGATAAAGATCTGCTTAAATATCTTTTCGGTATAGTGATGGTAGTTGTTGGCTACATGGCCGCTTGGACGGCTGTCGTCATGGATAATGCCAGAAGAGGCCACAGCATTTTAGAAGAAGGGCAGACTGCCGAAGGACTTAGGTATTATCTGTGCAGGTCCCTTTGGTGGGATTATGTTACCGAAATCGGTAGGTTTAAGAGAATTTTATAAATTTTGAAATGAAATAAATTATAGATATAATTATAATAATAACAATAATCAAAACTTTAAAAATCAAATATGACAAGTTCTGTCTCTGATAGTACTAATGAATGATGAATTAAGCTCTTCTCTAATGAAAAACACATCGGGATACATTCCTAAATTAAATTTCAGAAATGTTGTATTTCTGTTGAGCCAGATTTTTCTTATAAATAATATCATATTCTTTATATATTTTCGAATAATTTAATTTTTAGATAAACCAGACGAGTTAAGATTTAATTAAATAATTATTTCTTTCTTTTACACCTCATAATATAAGCTTGACTAAACATAATATCTTTACCAACAATACTATATCTATTATAATGGAGCACTGTTCTTTGTAAATAAACTAAACTCGAAGTTTTACACTTTATTTTTATACGTGAACTTTTTTAAATGGCTGAAATAGGTTATAAAAAAATTTTTTTAATGATTTATTTATATGAAGTAAACTCACACGAGATTTCTTTTATTTCGTACTGAAGAGAAATGTTTATTGCCACAAACTAATTATAGTTATTATTCAGTGTATACAGTTTCTTCTACATCTCGTATACGTTGTTTCAATATTCGTATATTTTCACTCTAAATTTTTGCGTAATGACATTAGAAATATGTTATTAAAACACAGTTATTAATTAATGTTAAGTTTAGATTATTAAATTTTATTTAAGATTATATAATAAGTTTATTTTATTATTTTGTATTCTTTATTATATAAATGATGATAATTTATGTTTTATTTTCATATTTTTATAGGCGAATTGTTATTTCTTTTACTGGGTATCTACCTCACATATTGTGTCAGAAATGCCAGAAATGATTATTTCAAAGAAAAATGTTCTCTATGCTGGTCCCTTTACATAGAAGCTATAGTATCTTTCCTCATGTATGCAATTAGGTATGCAATAATTTTCTTTCTGTTTTAAGTATGTAAAAAAATGTATAATTATTAAGCTATATAATTGCATTAATTAATTGCTCGATTTTATTTTACAGACATGTGATATGGTTACGTTTAGACCCAGATTTTATCTTCTTGATGTATTTTCTCCGCTGTCAACTTACAATTACTATTATGCTGGCTATAATATTTGGACCAAAGGTATTTTCAATCGATTTTATTGATGCACAACTAATAATAAATATATTAAAATTAGCACATGTTCATTTAACAAAGTGCAATCAAGAAATATGAAAATAAATTATATAAATTTACATGAATTATTTGTATTAAAACAAGTTACTTTTTCACATTAATTATTATTATTATTATTATTAGAAACTATTTTTGATACATTAAATACTTTTTCTTCTTGTTAATTTTGTTTTTTTTTTATGTTTATTTATTTATCACTGATGAAGGAATAAAAGAAGTTTCCATTAAAAAAAATCATAAATTAATTTTTTATTATTTCATTATTCTGTAATTATTTTTAAAGATTGTTTTTATTAAATACTCTAATTACAACTTGACTTTGTATTTTAATATAAAAAATAACTGTACTTTATCTTTAAAAATATTATCTATTCTTTTCGAAAATATAATGTTACGTATTATATATTCATTTAAATATTTAAATTATTATTATTATTTTATTAGGTTAAAAGTTATTCAGTCATTAATATTACATCTCGATCGTTATTTGTAGTGTATTATCGATAATTTACTAAAATGAATATAAACAATAATACTTTTAAATCGTTTCATATTAATACGATTAAAACAACATTTCTCAATTAAGTTCATTGAATAATATTGAATGGTTTTAAATAATATTAAAATTAAAATTCAGTTAATGACAAATGTTTTTTGTGAATAACAATTGGAAATTACAATTATTTCTTCATTAATATTGATTAATAATTAAATTTTAGTTTTATTAAAATATTGTTTCAGAGAAACATGCTGTATAAAATTTATTTATTAATAATCTAGTAAAGCCTAAGAAACAATTAATGATAATTTGAATATGTAATAAACAATTGTTAAAGTTGTTATTATACTTTTTTATTTAGTTATGGTATCATAGCCATCCAGTTCCAAGAGCAGAACACGTCAGGCATTATTCGTCGAGTGAGGTTCACGACCATTTACCAGAAGCAATTATGTCTAGTGGAGATATGGATGTAACAGACATTAACTTATCTGACATGGACCCAGAAGACATCAGGGTATAAATAATTAAATATAATTGATTAAGTTTGTTTTATTTTATGGTAATTAGTAATTTTCTTTTTGTGTGTGCGTGGGTTTAGGCCGAATTAAGGAGAGTCTATACGCAGTTACAGATTCTCAGGAATAAAACGATGAGGAAAGACAATCCCCATATATCAAAACGTAGAGGTGGGCGTAAAGCCACCCATCGGCGTTTTTCCCTTCAACCTTTTCACCATAAACATAAACATTATCACGATCACGATCACGAAACAACAGAAGTATCAAAGACTCCCGAAGAATCCACGGCAAGTATAGAAGGGACCATGCCATTTCCGATTGATTCTAGAACAGATGAAAACAGTGGCAAAGTGACGTATAAATGAAACTAAAATCCTAGATATGGGTCCATCAAAAACTATAGTCTCTATATAGAACTGTACAGTTTTATGTAATTCTGTGTTTCTTGTCTATTGATTTTTCCGTTTTCCATTATAGAAATGGAATATTTTACGGCTTAATTGGTGAATGAACGTGAGAATGGGCATCTATAATGTTTTATTTATTTCTTCCTATTTATTTATTTTTTTAAATTGTACAGTTGTTAAATATTGTTAAAATTTATTGTTTAATCGGAATATATATATATATATATATACATTTAAAAACACAAAACTTATATTCAATGGAAGCAGGTTGTTGAACTTTTAAAGAGAGCGATTTTGTTAAAGGAATGTGCCTTTGTGAGTAAAGATCTTGTTGTAGAAACGAAAAACGAAATCGTTATCTTATAATATATATATATATATAAATTTATCGATTTATGTTATCAGGATTTTGTTTAACAGTAGTGCTTCCATAATTCTTTAGTAGCGATGATAGTTGTGCCTCCTTATTTGTTTTTAAAAGACAACACGGGAGAGAGGGGAAAAAAACGTATTATAAAATTAAGGAACTCTTTAGACACTGGGGAAAAGCAAAATTCCTCTATGTGTTCCTATATTCAGTTATAGTATAAAACGAACAAACGGAAGTATTAAACTTCCTACTATTGAGACTTTTTTATTCATCGAATACTTTGATGTGGAGATTATTTCTTGCCGGATCATCTACATATGCTCATAACTTACTATAGCATTCTTTTTCCCATATTATACCGATATTGTGTGGAAAAATATTTCTATATCAATCATTGTGTAATCGAATTTTTTTGTTTCTAGATTAAAATAGTTTGCATCATTTTTAAATTTTGCTGATTTTTGTTTTCATATTAACAATTTCTTTCTTTTACAATCGACATGACATGAGTTACAACATTTTTTTCTATCACAGAAATGTGGTACAGTAGAGCCTCGATTATCCGACCCCCGATTAACCGACACCTCGGTTAACCAACTGTCCTAGTCAGCAAATTTCAAATGTCCGCTAGTGATGTGGCGCTACAATATTTGGCTATGTCTTGGCTACTTTAATATTATTTTTACGTGTTTTAGCTGGCAACACTGGATCGACCATTAAAGGGAGCCAGTATTTAAACGAGGCTTAATTTTCTAATTTTTAACGATACAATAGCGACGATTATTATTTTAAAAAATTTTTGTTAGGCTTAACATCGATGAAAATTCAACGCGAAGTAGGTTAATAGCGATATACTAATATACTAATTACATGGGATATAATAATATACTACACTAATAATGGATTTTTTCATACTTTTCGGTTATCCGACTTTTCAATTATCCGACCAACCCCAGTCCCCAATTGAGTCGGATAATCGAGGCTCTGCTGTATTTAAATCACACTCGTAAATTCCTTATTTGGGATATTTCCTACAACTATTTAAACAAAAAAAAACTCTAAAGAAAGTCTCTTTAAAATGTTCGAAAAGCAATTTATAAAAGGCGAAACTAAAGAGAATTTGAAATTGAAAAAATGAAGCAATTAACACTTTGAAATTAAGAATTAACACTTTAATTATTTTAACTATAAAATATAAAGTTCACATAACATTACCAAGTCTTTATATGAGAAGTAAGTAATGGTTTCTTATATATTTAAAACTTATTCACTTATTTTATTGTTAAATATGAATTATTATAGAAAATTAAATTCATATATGTATAAAATACAATACATTTTAATCTAAAAACTTTGATATTTAACTACGAATAACAAGTCCATATCTGGTTAATGTCTACTGGAAAACAAAATAGTTGTCAATTTTATAATAGATAAAAATAGAATTTAACATAAATATAAATAAACTTGTGATTGATTAATTCATATCTGGAAAAAAAAAACTCCTAGCCATTTGCTTTTTCCATAATATTTGTTGTTATTACAGTTTAGAAGACTTACAGAGATTTATTTTATTTTATTTATTTTTTACAAATGTAATAAATCTTCCATTTTCTATTTTAGATTGTTCTAAAAATAACACATGGAAAAAATTATTTGAAAATTATTCAGAAATTCCAAAGTGTATTTTAAATATTTTCATTCGAATCTCGCTTGATTTTACATTTTCTTCTTTCTTAATAAATAAAATTCAATTAGCGAGATTTAAATTTTATATTATGAATTTTCTTTTATTAATTATAAATTTCATTTAGTTATATTGAACAGCAACAGATGGCGCTAGATTCCAAAATATAAATTTCTCGCCTAGAACCCAAAATTTTTCTTTTTAATTTAAATTTAAATTTATATTTTATTAATCGTTATTAAGGTTATATTGAGATAATTCATTATATTGATATCTAAATTTTATATTATAAATTTTCTATTATTAATTATAAATTTTATTTAGTTATATTGAACAGCAACAGATGGCGCTAGATTCCAAAATATAAATTTCTTGCCTAGAAACCAAACTTTTTTTTTTTTTTTCTTTTGTAAACATCGAAACACCGAAAGGAATGCTGCGATGTTGAAAAATTAGATTATATTAATAATACAGATGTAAACAAGAGGCGACGACGAATCAAAAATACCAGTAGAAGAGAGAAAAGAGAATAAAGAAGAGAGTACATGTAAAGATTGAACCTCAACAATTCTTTTGTGTAATTGTATTAAAATTAGGAATATTTCTAAAGTACTAGAGAATTAAAGAGGAATATATATATATCATTGCAATTAAATTGTGATCTATCGCTTCGCAAATGGAATATAGCACATAAAATCTGCATTTATGAAATCCCTAAGATTGGAGTTTTTATTTCACTTTGTAATTATTTAAATAATGTAACTTCTCGTTGCATTTGTCAAAATTACTGTTTTTAAAAAATATTTTTAAATACTGTTTACATAATTTATCTGTTATAAGAAAGTAAAAAATACGTTTTTATTTTTATTCAAATTCTTTAATTTATCCAGTAAAATCCTCCCATTTATTGTATAATTTGAAGGAATTTAGTATAATTTTTTTTTATATTTTTCTGATGATTTTAATATTATCATTTAGTAAATCTTTAAAACAAAAACCTATGAAAGTTCAATATAATAGGACCATAGCAAGTTATATATACAAATAAGAAATGAATGCTGGTATATAATTACTGTACTGTATTATAAAATTAAAAAAAAAAGAGAGAGAGAGAGATTATTGATAATTATACTAAAAAGACTGCTCTTATTTTTTTAATATTATAATGTAAAATATACGCATAGAATCACGATAAAAGCAATTGTTTCTCAATAAACTTTAGGGTGCTGCAACTCTAAAAAGGTTGGAAAATACAGTAGTAGTATACAGAATAATTCTTACATTATTTAAATTACGGCGTTGTTAAGATTTATAAATATTTTATGAATTATATTTCATGAATAAGATTACACTTTTAACTTTATAAGCATTTCTCATTTAAATGAAAATAGCATATGACTCAAAGAGTGCATTTTAAATTTTTTTTTTCTTTTAGCAAATGTATAAATAAATAACTTTTAGTAACGAAAGTATTCTTTCTTTTTTTTACTGAAAATGTATTTATTTATATTCTAACTTCGAATAAATCGTTGAGTGTATGACATTTTTTCTTAATGGCTGTAAAATTTCGTTTTTTAATTAACTACAACGTTCACAATGAAAAACTTTTACAGTATATTATGTCATAATTGCATATTTTAACTATAATATAATAGTAATAATTACAATTTCCACGAATATTTTTATGAATTAATAGAGAGGTTGCGGCCGACGTTTTCAACGCGAAAACGTGTACGTCCGACGTTCAGCGCCGCCTTCCTGTGAGCCTAGAAGTTTAACAATGGCGTTTGGAACGTCAATAGAATCATGCTCGACGTTACAAACGCCATTGTTAAACTTCTAGGCTCACAGGAAGGCGGCGCTGAACGTCCGACGTACACGTTTTCACGTTGAAAACGTCAGCCGCAACCTAAATTCAGTTCCAAACCGAGTAAAATTTTGTAAATAAAAATATAACCTTTTAGGACTAATTAACAATAAAGCTTAATTAGTGTTGTTTGTTATTAAAATCATAATATAATTATTAACAATCGGTCTAATTTTTGTTTTTTTTTTAATAACGAAAACATCATTTGTGACGTGTCTTATAAAGTTGACTAACGACTTTTGATTACTTTCACTTATTTCGAAAATAAATTATTGCAAAAAAAAAAAAACATTAAGATATTTTTAATTTATTTAATTATAAATTTACAAATATAAATTTAACTCAATCAGATAATGACATTTAAATATTTTGTTGATTTTTAGGAAATTTATGTAAATGGATTCTTTAATTTTGACAATTTACTAAATTTTATAACAAATATACATTATGTGCCAATAAACATTTTGTTTTGTAAAATCTTATCCTGTAATTGGATCGGAATTTTATATTTATTTATCCAATTACAGACTAAGATTTTATAAAAACAAATACTTATTGGCACATAATCATTTAAATCTTTTATGTATAATTTAAAAGCTAATTTTTAAAATATGTTGCATGGAAAATTTATTCGAAAAAGTCGAGCACATTTCCACTCATTTAATAGTCCCATGAATTATAAATTGGAATTTCGTTTTTAAATTAAAAGATCCGAGATTTAGTGCATCGATTCCAGTGTTTTTAATTGAAATTCCGTCCAATCGATTTATATATAGGGGAGATCGGGGCAAGATCGGCATGTTAAGCTTTTCTTAAATTTTGTGTAATAAATACTGCTGTAAACTGAAAAAAAGCTTTGCATATTGTCTATTGGAATGTTACCTTACTATAGAACTGGTTAAAATCAGTTTGGAAATAAAAATAATTAAAATAATTACAACTTTACAAGAAGAGAGAAATTGACGAAGTTGCCCCGGGTATAGGGGCAAGATCGGCAACTTCTCTCTTTTTGTAAAGTTGTAATTATTTTAATTATTTTTATTAAAGTTGCCCCTGGTATAGGGGCAACAGTAATGGGGCAAGATAGGCACGTATATAAAATTATGTTATTAACAATGTATAAGTTGGAATTCACTATTAAAACAAAGAAATACAAATCCAACACCCATTTAATATTATTACAACGAAATGCAAGTTCAAAGACATATATACATGAATAACAAATGCAAACATGTTTTCATTTATCATCTGTTTGATTTTTATCCTTTGCTTCTAATGTGGCTTTATGTTGCCGATCTTACCCCGCTAGTCATGATTTCGAAACATTAAGTACAACCCTGAGAACAGAATGCCAAGCCACGATCTGGCCACGTGAATAAGTTGAAGTTACATCCTTCTAACAGGAAAAGTAACTTTCGTTATCATGGAATTATAACAAAACCTGCCAATTCAATATAAATGGAAAAAAAATATTATATGGAATTCAACGAAAATGAAAATTTGCTTGATAATTCAACTACGCTTGTTGGAGAACAATAAAAACACTACACTCAACAAGCCAACAATAAAACTCAACTGCCTAACCTATAAACAAAGTCTCCTTTTAATTTGTTTTTTAAAAAAAGCGCTTGACAAACTTGCCCCGCATGCCGAAGTTGCCCCGGTCTCCCCTATATATATTTTTTTTCTTGGTATTTTAAATAGCCGATATTTTTGATTAAATTGTAATAATTATTAACGAAATTTGAGTTTAAAATCTGAAGCGTAAACACTTTTATTTTCAATATATAATGACATCATAGAAGAACTAACTATATTTCTAGCCTATTATCCTATTCATTAAAATTACACATCATTTAAAAATATTTAAATAATCCAATTAAAACTAATATAGGGATATGTATTTTCTATTCCGACTGTATTTTTTTGTTATCCGTTTCTCTTTTTTTTGTATTGGGCCTGTATAAGTTAAAATGACATTTCAGAGAACGGTTAATCTTAATTTACGACACCGAACTTATGTGAAATAAAACGTCTCGCTTAACGACAGTTTTCCATTATTGGTCGTAAAAAGCAAGCGCATACTGTTTTCTTTTAGTTCATTTATTTAACTAAGTGGTTTCCAAAGTGGTTGACGGGTTATCTAAATGGCTACTAGGAGGTAAGTAAGAGGCAGACAACGTTGGAGGTGGACCCCTCCGAGCGCCGTTTTTCATTTATTTATGATCGATTATTGACTAGTTTTATTGAACGAATGGTATTTAAAAGGTTTGATTAAATATGCAATTATTTGTAATTCTTTTGTATTTAGTTATTTTCTTGAGGAATCGTGCAAACTAATATTTAATATTCCTTCTGGCGATGGCACAAGTTGGCCACGAATTTTATAAATTTTTTTTATATTTTGAGGCGTACGAGAAACTTCTAAATAAAGGTCGACTCAGTCGTTAGACTTATTATTTTCTAAGACAAAATGTAAACGTTTTAATAATATTCAACACACGTTACTTGACTTTTAATAAGTCATTCAAATCACTATTTACTCTATTCAAAGAGGAAGTTGCTCGAAATATTAAACTCCTTACTTTTTAATACCTTTATTACTTGGCCATATTGAACATTTATGGCCATGTTGAACATTTCATGCAGACTAATTTAGAAGTGAGATTTTCTTTACCA